CTTTTCTTCTAACTCACAGCCCACCTGTGGGGCATAACCACTAACAACATTAATCATCTCTCCTTCTATTTCTACCTTCACACACATCAACCTGTCTGACTTGACTTGTTTCACCTCTACCACATTTTTTTACATATTCTTCCTTTAGGATCACCCCTACTCCATTTCTCTTCCCATCTGAACCATGATAGAACAGTTTGTAGCCTCCTCCAATGTTTCTAGCCTTACTGCCCTTCCACCTGGTCTCCTGCACTCACAATATGTCTACTCTTCTTCTCTCCATCACATCAGCTATTTCTCTGCTTTTCCCTGTCATTGTACCTACATTCAAAGTTCCAAACTTCAGACTAACACTTCTATTCTTCATCTTTTCTCTTTTTCTCCTAACCAAACGCCCTCCTCTTCTTCTCTGTCTCTGACTCTGTCTCTGACCAACAGTAGTCCAATTTCCATCAGTGCCCTGTTGGTCAACGGCACTGTTGGCGGTCGTTGTTAACCCGGGCCTCGACCGATCCGGTATAGAAATCGTTTTATTGATCTGCATATTTGATTTAGCTAAACGTTTTACGCCGGATGCCCTTCCTGACGCAACCCTCACCATTTATCCGGGCTTGGGACCGGCACTATAAACACAGCTTCGTGTACCCTAGTGGCTGGCTTTTTACTTTTCTCTCCCCAATTAAAAATTGTATTTGTGTTGTTTGCTTCCTGTCACCCAAAACGCATTTAGTGCATACTCACATTGCAAGTGCAGCCAACAGCCAAGTGTGTTCTCAATCAATATTGGATTAAGGAAAAAAAGATGATAGCTACGGCAGTAACGTGCAGACACACACACATGCACAGCCTTTTGTCAAATGTCAGTGTGCTCTTACTTTTATATCTTATTTATTAAAAGTTATAGAGAGTCGTTTAAAAACAGCTCGCTATTCTGAACCCACTTTCAGTTTTACAAATCCTTAATCTGTCATGTATCAGCAGGAGGTGGTTTCGGGACGGATGTGGAGAGGAAGGGAGGAAATTGAAGTGAACTGGTGAGATTGCAGGGGATGAGTTTGATCCACAGAGTATCAGCATGAGAGCTCCACCATGTGCAAAACAACACAATTAAGAAGAACGCTTGGACTAATCAGTGCATGCATCATGTAAATTATTGTTTTTTTTTTTTCAATGCCTGCTTTAATCTCGGCTGTTATGGCGGAATACAAATTAGGAATTTAGCTCTAATGAAAGTAGGAGAGAAGGGAAAACTGGGAAGTGACGGATGTGGACGAGATGAACAACAGGTGATGGCAAGGATGATGTAAAAAGGAGGAGTCGGGAGTGAGGGGGGGGGGTGCAGTGACACACAGGCAACAGATTTGCTTTTAAAAGTCAAACAGCAATAAGGAAATGAATCCTCTTTGGATTGCTATCATTTAATAAAGACTTATGTTCTACCTCTATTTTTACTGTGAGTGTTTTTGATTTAATAAACAGGGCTTTAAAAAATGGATACCACTTTAATGAATATTTAAACTAACTGATACCTTTTCTTTTCAACAAGCTTTATTGCATTTATACAAAAACAATTTTATTAGCCAAACATTTACAGCATCTCTGGACATTGGACAAATAACACTTTACCCAATGTCCAAATGCAATATACTTGAGAATTATCATAAAAAAACAAGGCATCAAATACAATTTCAAACAGAAATATAAAATTATGAAACATTAGTTTTATCTGGTATACTGAAATGTTGCTTCATAATATAAAAAATACTCAACTCTTTATAATAACATGGTAAAGAAGACTAAACTAAGTTGTTTTTTCACAGACAAGCTATTTTTTCTAATTCTTGTTGATATAACATTTTGGTATTTCAATTATTAGCTTCCTTTTAGTTCTTTCTGTGTGATGGGCTATCGTAACCCACCCTGACCTGGCCACTGATCCTGAAAATGATGGAGACTTTGAAGACTGAAGAATGTTTCTTGGGAGTGACATCACATGTCCTCTGTCCTTAAGTTATCTGGAAAGGTATGCACAAGTGGCTATTTCCTCTTTTTTGTTACTACAGGGGTCCTGAACTTATGTCGAAGTTTAGTTTCTACGAAACATAAACTTGATTCTGTTTGGAAACCGGAGCTCGTACACTGTATAATAGCTAACCTAACTGTGGGGGCAGTGGTGGATTAAGGTTTTAGGTTCGAGTCCACTAGCTGCCAAATTACCACTGAGGAGCTCTGAGCATGACACCGTCCCCACACACTGCTCCCCTTAAAGCTGCCCACTGTTCACTTTGGTGATGGGTTAAAAGCAGAGGTCACAGACTTCTGTGTAGCGCTGCGTGACAGCAGTTGGCAATTTTTTAACACTGTGCATCGGTATGACGGAACAAGACTTTAGAAATTTGTGGGAGATCACAGCGGAACTATCGTAAACCAAGGACCATGTACTCAGGAGCCACTTTGATTGGGTACATATTGTAGGGTCTCCCCCCTACAAACCTCTGCACATTAATGTCAGCAGTGTTGGTCCACAGCACAAAGCACTTTCATTTCTGTCCTCATCAGTGAAAGTTCACATTCAGTCAAAGGTTTATAGTAAGCAGTATAACAAGAGTACAGTGTGTACTGTTGTTCTCCACACGGCCACACTGAGAACAGGCTCTCCTCTCTCCGTGCGCCACCCTTCTTGTTGGGCATCCTTAAAGACAAACATATGGAACACAGCACACACACACAGCATAATAGCACACATACACACTATAATCTAACAACACTCAGACGTCTTAAATCCTTGTGTTAGTGTGTACCTTTTATTACACATGCATCTGCAACAGTGATGGACAAACAACTGTCCCTTTATCATTTTCCACTTTTAAACTCACAGTGAAAGAAAAGGTCTGCGTCACCACTGTTCAGCTCAGTTAATACACCTAAATTGGAGCAATTATGTCCTATCTACCTATAAATCTGTATAAAAATGATTGCTAGGACTAAGGAAGCCTTAATGGAAAAAGCTGTGGAAAAAAACATACTTTGCGGTTACCAAGGGGAGTGGAACAAAAGAGCAAACACATTATCTTGTCATGCCTGTGGCATTCACATGGCATTAGGGCCAACAAGTGGAATATAAAACAGTTTATTTTAACATTCATTAGAAAAGTGCTTGTTTCATGTGTCAGAAATCTATTTATTGTCATATATTTGTGGTTTTGGCCAAGTATGGCATAGGAAATTAGTTATTCTACCCATGTCAACATGAAAATGTTGAGGAGATTTTATTACTGCTGAGCACATGATGTATTTTAAACCTTTACTAAAAGCTACGGGTTAACATAGCTCAGAGACAGATTCCTATGCTTTTAGGCTGCATGCTAGAATTTTACATATCTGTTTACTTACTAATTTAATATAGCCTCTGAAAGGGTATATTAAAATAGTTCAGAAGTCCTCTTAATGCTATTGGCTTAAAAAGATGAATCTTTACTATATTTAAATATGCTTTAGAGTATATTAAGTCGACATACAAATGATGGACAGGACAATGAGACAAAACACTCATTATTTGTACGTTGTTTTAGGATAAGAAGTCCTTCATTCTTTTTACCATAATGACACCGCAGACTGCACATTATTAAATGGCAGCATCATTCGTGTGTCTTTGCATCAATATATAAAATGTTTTTGCACCATCATTTTCAGAAATGTTCTATTTATTTCACCGTGTAAGTCTGTCTGTATCACTGTTGTTTTTTGTTTTAAAGTGAATGTTGAATACTATCTTCCTCATTATGATCGATTGTTTCATTCTTTACTGTAAATGTCCGTTATAATAAAAAGTATTTTTTGTTGTTGTTACTTTAATTACCAAGAACACAATTTTTAAAATCAATGACAGTGTTCCATTCCTGGAACAGTGGTCATGTGGTTCAAATTTTACTTGTTTCCAGGTTTTGATTCCTCAGTCAAGAGAGGAGTGAAGCAACTAGCTAGTGTAAAGTTTAACTCCAGAGCATCTGAGAAGCCAGGAAATACCATCCAGAAGACCTGACAGGGATTCTGCCACTGTGTCCTGCACCTGAACAGGGAGATTGACAGGAAAAATAAAACCAACATACTGTATGACTCTGATGTGGAAATATCGAATATATAGGGTATTAAACAGTTACCATCCAGGGATTAGGCAGTTTTGTCAGACCGAGTCTCTGTGCCATGTAGACACAGGCAGTTCGATGGCTGCTCCCAACATTCTGGAGGCTGCTGTGTCGACTCGCTTCTCCTCTGGAGACACAGGACAGCACCAGCAGAGGCCGCGGCGATGTGGAGTCCTTGGCTGAGCTCATCACAGCCTGGATCTGAGCCACCTCTGACTGCCCTCCGCCTGTTTAAAATAAGGTTGTTTATTTTCAAGTCCTATGCAAGTCATGGTGGTAGCAACCAAACAGAAAATAAAAATGTCTTGTCTCACTTCTCCCAGGCTCAGCATTGGCTACGTAGATGAAACCATCCACCACCTGGCACACTTGCTGAACCTGAGGGGAGGGGCTGTACACGGGACAACCAGAGTCGTCTTCTTCAATGGTAAAAAGTTTATTAGTCACGTCCTGCTGGTTCATTCTGGCTCTTTCTCTCTCTGCCCTGCAAACATCCAAGGTTTTATTATATGCAGTCATGCATTTATATCGTTTTTTAAAAATATTTTATTTTAAAAACCTACCTATTTGTTGAGTATAAAGTCAGGATATTGAATCTGTGTTGGTTGTTAAAGACGTAACTAATTCCCGAGCCAACACCTAGCGAGAAGTTAATGTTAATAATGTTACAGAAATGAGCTAAGCCTGTCACCTGCTGGTGAACACATTAACCTACAATAAGTACGTTCAGGTTTCTCTATAAAAAGTTGAAAAATGGGACTAGTAACCAAAACCAGGTTACTAGTGTTGAACTCTGACCACTAAAAGTATATGGCTTCCTTGTACAAAAAATGCAAAGAGCATTTAGAATTCTATCAGGGATGCAACAATATACCAATATTAGTAACTGCTCTGATGCTTAATTCAAATACTTGTACTCCAAAACATCTGATGATCCAGCAGCCTGATGCAAAGAATTGTTTTGGTCTGATACAATAAAATTAATGAAACAGATATAGACGCACCATAGTGCTGAATATGCTCTTGGTTTGTGTGTTGCATCATCAATTAACAAATTAGGTTGTATTTGATTATATTTTTAGCACTAGTGGTATTTCTTTGGCAAAAACACTTCACCATTTATCTGTCGCTGTGGCGTCCCCAACACAGGAAGCACATGTGGAGAATGCATGAGCCTTGTGACCAAAGAAACTTCCAGTTGCTCTATACCAGGGCCAAACATGGCATAACGCGGTTCAGAGGATGGGACCAGAGATTGAAGGAACGAGGTGAGGACTTCATACGCTGGCCGTGACGGAAGCCACTGTTTTCTAGAGTGTGGACACGCTCTGAGATATCTTGTTAAAAAAAAATCCAAAACACACCAAAAAGGTCAAACAAACACATAATGAGCATATGATGGAAACAAAATATAATATAAAATACCTACTCTGACATGAAGTCACATTTTAACTCTGTTCCTGTCTCATCTACTTCCTGTGCATCAGACAGGTTCTCATCTTCACTGATTACGCGCTGTGGTACATCATATAATTCCAGCTGTGGCATCGTCAGGTGATCAATAGAGGGCCAGTACGGCATGTCCCTAAGAAGGAAGTACTTCCACAGTATTGGATCTCTAATCATGGCTCTCCAGTAGCGACTGCTGGCCCCCAAACGGCAGAGATCCACAGGAGAGAGAAAGGTCATGATCACGAACTGGAGGTCCACCTATAGGGTAAGTAGGCTTTTGTTACCAGTGCTGTGGAAGCCAGCAGTTAAATTAGTCAATGTCGTTAATGTTAAACAATTAATGTCGAACAATTGAAGCAACTTAGTAAGAACACCATAAATCAGTCTTTTGGGGCTGCTTATAAAATAGTATTGTGGCTGTTTTTGAAAGGAACATTATTGTTGTATACAATTTCAACAGCACAAATTATTATTAATTAGCCATATCTGGTTATCCACGAACAGGAAATGAAACGAACATAAAAGATGAGTCTCTAAATCTTAAGATTAGCATAAGGGTACAACAGTGTTCATGTAAAATTAGTCACGTTTCAGTGCGTTCTTGTAACTCGATTTGGCACCATCTAGTGGTCACGGTTAAAAGTACACTCAAATATGTGGGGTTGTTTACAAGATTTTAAACTTATAACTTTTTTCAACATGTATTAGTAGTGTTGCTTCTGCATTAATTCCAAACTGCACTATAAATATCTATGAATTTATTCATAAATATTTAAAATGTATAATTTACGAGATTGTTAGAGCAGGTTTACTACAGCTCATATATATTCGAATTAACAAAACCAAAAATATGAGCCCAGACATGACTCACCGGTAAAATGTCCAGAAATCCGGGTTCCGGTGGTTCCGGGGCTAAATTTGGTTTTGTCTCGTTTTTAACGAGTTTACTTCTGTCGGGAAAATAGCGGTCTCTAAACCTCTTGAGGCTGCGAATCACTGCGTAGTCTGCGAGCTGCTCCATCCTGCCACATTTGACTCCAACTAGCAAAATACCAAACTATTCTGATTAAAACTCACTGTCACCACTGACTGCGACAACTCATCCAACGTTTTCCAGCCTCTGCAGCACTTCCTTGTTGCTGGCGAAAGAGGTGCATTATGGGTAAAGCAGTCTTTCGGCAAAACTCAAAAGTATTTTTGAACAGCTCGATTTGGATCAAACGGAGAGAAACAAAGATTTTTTAAAATATTATGTGTTTATTGTCAGCATGGACATTAAAAACTGAATCGGGTTTTCGTTCAAACAATGAAAGAGTTTCTAATTATTGTTACAGCATCACTTTGAATAAAGTGGCAGATGTATGAAAGTTGCAACAGATGGAACACGTACAAATCTTAGCACACTGTGATTAGTCATGAAGACATTGTTTGAACACTTTTCAATCCCCTCCTAAATTCAATGCATCTGCAGTTATATTAAAAGCATAACAAAATGGTAATAAAACAATAAATAAACTGTTACTGTGCAATGTATTTTTTCCAGCTAAATTATCTTAAACTTGTAACAATTTCATAACAAAAAAATAAAAAAGGTCAGTTTAATGTTATTGTTAATATTGTTAATATAATTATTACAACACATTCTTAGAGCAAAACAGACGGCCCCCATCAAAAGTCCGTAATAAGGATGATAACTGCTTTTCCAACAGGACAGGGCATAGAAAGTGAGTCAAAAGTTTTCTCTGAAGCACCTGCTGCTTTTACACCACCTCTGTTACAACTTACTTTTTCACCTGCTTTGGCCACAGGTCATTTGGCATTGGATGTTTCCAGTAGACACTGATTGAGTCATTAATTTCTTAATTTCTGCATTCTCTGTGCCTAGTCTCAACCTTCCACAACAATATGCCCCGTGGTGATGGGTTCAATTTGGGGTTGAATACTGAGCTTAGATCTGTGCCTGGGAGTAACGTTTGGAGCTTCACTGTAGAATACTAAGGATTTCCTTGGCATTCTCTGTGTTCCATCCCTGGCCCTGCAGAGGGCCCTCACAGGCAAGCACGTATTTGTTAAGGATCTGAGTGCCAATGTCCCGAAACTGTAGGCGGTCTTCTTTTCGGTCCATATCGGCACTACAGTCCTCATACTTGACTGCCCAGAAACACATTTCCCCAATGTACATCATTGTCAGCAGGTGTGTGTCCGAAAAGATCCCTGTAAATGATATGATAGAATAATCAAAAGAGAACACAAAATACAGCGCTGTTACCCACAAATGAGAGATAGGCACCTTCGGACAGGAAGCTGGCTGTTGAAGTGTCGTGAAGGACCACTCCATCATTGAGCTTCACTGAGCTTCTCACTTGCAACATTCGCATCAGGTAGCGCACACCTTCCTGAATACACTGGATTTGAAAAGTGCTACAATCAGATAAACATTAAAGCTCACTGGGCAAATGATGATCAAACCCCCCAAAATAATAGGATGACATAATAAGGAGTGTGTTACCTTAAGGAAAGTTTCCTTATTTTTCTTGATCCACTGTTTTCTTTGATGAAGTGTGTGGCAGTACATGTACAGCAGAGCACCACGTCTCCAGTACAGGCATTCTAGAAGCTCTAGACCCAACACAGACTGCACCTGCAACAGACCACAGACAAAAAAACCCCAAGTGTTCACAATTGTTAAACATTTCTACTTTCTTTTTCACTAATCCACAATCCATGTTCTACATTTACACGGTCTTCTCCTGTCTTAATTTAACAAAACAATGACACACATCTATACCTCTTGTGTTGGTGCTAGCCTTCCTGCCAAAACTTCTGGCTCAGTCAGGTCTTGCAACAGCTGCTGAATTTTAAATGGTGAACAGTCTTCTGGAAACTCCTGATCCACAAGCTTGTTCTCTTCATAAAATGTAATATCAAGAACCACCTGCAAGATGAAAAACAAATTATGTAATTCCTAGTTACAAGCCTACATCAAGTGAACACTATCTTATTCATGGTATTTTTAAGTGAACTAATTTTGCTGCTTATACATAGGTTTTCATTATTTTTGGTTTTCATCTTTTAAGCAAACAATCTACACATAACTTGCATGAAATAGCACCTCTCAGCAGAATAAGATAAAGAATGCTCCAACTTTTTTAGCCAAGAACAAATGAACAATTTTCAGATTCCACTACATTATAACTGGAACCAGGTATAAAAATGCAGACTAATGAAACAGATCTGTATCAATGTTTTGTCTAAGTTCTAATTATTCACCATACATTATCTGTCAGTTACCTGTGTGTAATCCTGAAGTAGCTTGGAAATGTTGCTACTCTCACCTCCTCCTTGTCTGAAATGGCCCTTCAACTTCTCTAGTATAGCGGATGCATTCTGTAAATAATCATCATCTGTGGGGTAGAAAAGGCACATTTAAACGGATATATAAATCTAACAAAATGCAATTCGGTTACTGTTGTTTATAATGTTTTTAATGGCGAAGGCAATGGACATTGAACAATGCTGCTAGAGACACAATACAATGCGAGTTTTAACCGACATAAAACGGGTATTGGACTGAAAACTGTGAGTTTTAATTCATGTGACATCACGAACCATGTTCTACTCGGCGACAATCGAACATTTAAGCTAACATCAGCGAACACAGACTATTTTGAAACATATTGTGTTGTATAACACATGTTTAACACATGTAGCCGGTGATGTGTTGTTTTCTTTTTTCCTAACATAAGTGTCAGCAGTTGTAGTGAGCAACATTGATATTTCATCAGATAGCAGCTGTTGTTATGGTTGCAGCCTGGGCTTAGATAACGTTAGCTCGTCTGCTAGTTGGCTAATAAAACTACAAATGAATATCGTACACGGACGGCCCTTACAGATAACAATCAAGGGAAATAATAAACGGTGGCGTCCAATCGATACCTTGCTTTTCAGCTCTGAGACTGGAACACTTGACGTCTAACTCAAATATCCTTCTCTCCAACTCAAACCCTTGTCGCCTGTAATCGTCGGCCATGACTAAACGTGTTGGTCACGTGAGTGGGAGATTCCTCACGTGTCCTCCGAAGCAAGTTTTACAGTAAATTCTATAAATGAACGTCCAGATGTAATGTGTAGTTGGGGTCAGAGGAGACGATAATCGTGGGAATCAAAGGAAAGAAAAACTTCAAAGACATAAAATAAACAGCACATACAGAAAGAGAGGGTTTATTTTATGTTTTTTAATACATGCGGCTGTCGGTTAGAAATTCGCCCCAATTTCTTTAACAACAAAGTGTGTTTCTAAAGTATCCTAAAGTTATCTCCCGTAAAAGGTGTGTAAATTACAATCTGACATTTTCTTATTCGATCGGAAAACGGAAGCACGTCACAGTCTGTTGTCATTCACTATTGGGAAATATATTAATCAGTATAAAAGGGGTATATTGTATTTATGAATATGGGCAATTGAATATATGCTTTATTAAAGAAAATACGATTTAATGTGAACGTAGTCTCACTGGTTTCACCAGCATTTTATCAAAACGGAAAGAAAACACAAGAAAACACCAGCCTTGTTCATTCGGAAAATCGGAAAAGTTATCAACATTTGAACCCATGGGTCACTGTTAATCCCTTATGCATCCACAATTCCACAGAGGAAAAATGTGACCTTGCAAGGTTATATTTCAACAATGTACGAATCACTCACTGCGAACTAATCACTCTCTGCGAGTGAATCAGTCTCTGCGAATTAATCACTAATTGTCTCACTGCGAACTGTCTCACTAAGTGTCAAACTGAGTTTTACATTCACTTGTCCCATACAAGGATTTTTCATTTGTGACAGACTGCTCGGGCTGCACATATTCGTTCTCACAGATTTGTTCACAAATTCGCTCTCACAGGTTCGTTCAAATATTTGTTCTCACAGAGTTGTTCAACAATTCGTTGTCACAGATTCGTTTTCGCAGAGTCGTTCTCGTAGATTCGTCCAAAGTTTTGTTCTCGCAGATTCGTTTTCATTTGTCACGTGACAGACAGCTCGGGTCTCTTTTGCTCTCATTCATTTTAGTCACTGTTACGCGGTTAAACAACAATGACAGGGAGGATGAAGGACACAAGTCATTGAGGTGTGTTTTTCTTCCTTAGCTTTTCACATGGTTCGAATTGGTTATGGCATTTTGTGTACTTTGTAGACTTTGTCAGCGGAAGCAAATCTGTTTTTTTTACTTTACACTCTT